CTCAGTGGAGCCAGTGGAGTAGAAACATTGGCCTAAATCCTCCCAGCCTCTCCCTCATTCAAGCCGAAGACATTAAAACTGAGCAGAGATGAAATTCTCATTTATTTTGCTTTTGGGTCACCCATTTTTCTCTCCGCCTCTGATATAAGGCTGAGTCCGGTTCTTGGCGGGAGCAGAAAGCGGGAGGTGTAAGCCAGCAGAAATCCAAATATGCTGGCGTGTCACAGATGTGTCGAGAGGTTTCAAGGTCAGTGTTTACAACAGATCGGCCTCATGCTGCTTATGGCAGCAGAGTGTTTTCATAAAGCATCCTCCCTTTTTAATGCAGTGTGTCAGCCTCTGAGCTGCAGAATGAGGCAGATTTCTGCAGGTTTTCTGCTCATTTTAATGGGTTTCATGTCATCAGGTGCGGCTTACATCTTGTGCTGTAATCCCTGCAATGCGAGAGGAGGTAAAGAGAAGCTGTGTTTTAGGATATAGCGCACTCTAGTGGAACCATGCACAATATTTTTATTTTATACCTATATTCATTGCCTTGCAAAAATATTTATCCACCACAAACTTCTTCACATTTGTTACAAAAACAAACTTTTGTGTGTTTTTGTTTAATTTTCTGTTACAGAAAACCCAAACTGATGGAGACGCAGTGTGAAAGGTTGTAGGGTTAGGTATGCATTTGCATTTTGAGTAAATGCAAATGCATACCGCACTTTTCAAAGTTATATTTATATAAAAAGGACTGAATATCATTTATTTAAACGTCACAGTTATGCAATAATTTGAGTGTTTTATTACTTAAAATCAACAAAATACACCAAACGAATCAAAATAAGGCATACGAGAGAAATAGTTTGCATGTTTCATTAAGAAAATACTTTAGTTTAAACCACAGTGCACCTTAAAAAGCCTGCTGAGGAAGTGTGATTGATTTAAACAGAGGTAATCAATCAATACTTTTCACTGATCTTATAAAAACAAACTAACAGATATTTATACTGTGATTTTAAGTTTATATCAACTAAATATTAGATAATTCATGTTAGTAAGGGCATGTTCAGATCTATTTAAAGCTAAATTTTATAAATAAAATGGCTACTTAGCTTGGATGTAAATGTTATGTAGAACAGGGATGGTCAAAGTGCGGCCCAGGGGCCGTTTGTAGCCTTCAACTGATTTTTTGCGGCCCATCAACTGCAATTGAAGAATGATACAAAGTGCTGTTTTTTTTATAACCAAACTTTTATAAGAAATAGAACCATGACTAAAAAGGCGACTTTGCTGCATCCAAATCAACTTTAATTTATTAAACTTGGGTAAATACAGCAAACATTTTGACAGAATGTGATGCAAATCCTGTATAAATTTGTTCAGTTGAGCCAAAAAATAAATAAATAAATTTGAAAACTAGATGTATTTCTTTTAATGCAGCAAACGAGCAAAAGTCCTTTTTAAATTTTTTAAACTTCATTTGCTTGATTTAACTTTTTTTTTTTTTTCCCTCCATTGACTCGATGATTTTGGCCAATGTTACAAAACGTTTGGACATCTTTGCTGTAGAAGTGGGACTCAAACCTATTTCTATCACATTAATGTAATTTAAATATGTTTTTGTATAATTATAGAAATAAATAATGAGTAGCCATGTTAAATATTCTGTTTTTCTCCATAAAATTGCGCATTGGTTATTCCTCTTTGTTGTGTAGATCCACAAGTGATGCAGCATTTCTAACTGGGTCACCTCAATCCATTCCTCACGTCTCTCCCACCCCACTGACTCTTCAAGTCATCGCTCTTCCTCCTCGCTCCTCCGGCACGGCTCATGTGCTGCATCCGTATTTACTCAATTATCTCTGTTAGCTTTTCACACAATAGCGTTGTTTTCTTTTCTTAAATTGCGTTAATTTCTTTAAAATCGATGAGGAAATAGTGATGTGTTGTTCAGTTGTTCAGTTAGCTTAGTTAGGAGCTAGCTTGTGACGTCAGCGCCAATGTATTTCTGAGCTGATGTTGTGATTGGCTGATGTATTCATGTAGAGGAGATATAGGACTCAGTGGCGTCCAATCAAAGACTGTTGCTATGGAGACACACAGATGACCCACGTGTTTTATTATATTGTCACTTTACATGCACATAAACCACTAACGTTCAGGTAAATCCTAGGATTTATTTTCTCTTAAAGAAGACCAAATTATTTTTTTCTCTTTTTGTCTCCTATCACACAACAGTATGTGATTTATGGCATTATGTCAGACATTTAAAATAGACCCAGGAAGAGTAGCATTATTTCAACATAATTTTACTCAAGTAAAAGTAAAAAGTGCCCCTCCTTTTATTACTCCAGTAAGAGTAAAAAGTATTTGGTAAAAAGTCTACTCAAGTACTGAGTAACTGATCAAATTATCAATAGTTTAATATCTAGATGGAACAAAATATAAAGTTTAGTGGAAATTTTGGTATTTTAATGTTGAAAATGACAATAATTTATATAATTAACACAAATAACATCAAGCAAAATATTTTTTTTTCCAAATCAGCTCCTTTCAATAAAAAAATTGTGAAACTTTATCAAAATCTGCAGGTGTGTTTCTGTGTCTGGTGAATTTTTGGTTAAAACATGTTTGTTTGCCAGTCAGTGCGTAGAAAATTCAGACATTTTACTCAAATAACAAAAATATTTCATATTAAAATTACTCAAGTAAAAGGAAAAAGCACAATGTTGTAAAAATACTCCAAAATTAAATTTTTCAAAAATGTTACTCAAGCAAATGCCATGTTTAGTAATGGAGAAAAGAGGCCAATCACAGCATGTCTTACTGATGCCGATAAAGTTAATTACTTTCCCTAAAACTTTAACTAAAATAGCTGCAAAGCTGCAAGTTTTAGATGAACTAGCTGAAAGTTTATTGTCTCAATCTTCTTTTTTCTTTCTTTGAGACTTTCCTCCTGTCATATTTCCGTACAAATCTGATTTATGGGTTGTTGGAACAATAGCTCTGTCCATCAATCAGCTGCGGGGAAAATTAGACATCTAATTATTTTTCACTGACACATAAGTATGTCATTAAATGTCTGTAAGGCACATTCCTGTGTAAAATGAAAACAGTCATGATTACCTAACTTTACAAAGAATGACAGAAAATAATTCACAATTTTTTGGCATACATTCTTACTTTTAACTTTCTTTAAACTAAAAACATAATTTGATATGTTAAATAATTTAAACATGACTCTCGCTTCTGAAGGATGCATGGATAGTAAAAATAAAACCCATGAAACATTAGCAATTAACTTCACATGCAGTATTAGAAACAATTTTGAGATAGACAATTACAATTCAACATTGGTGTCTCTTACGATGTACCACAGGGCTCAGTTTTAGGCCCCGAGTTATTTAAATTGTTCATCATCAGTGAATCATATAAGGTTTCAAGAACATTTTTAAAATGTGTCATGAGCACATGGTTAGCAGAAATTAGTAAACTTATATTATGATGGTTTGAATTAAATAAATTATCTATAAAAGTAAATAAAACAATATTATGTCTTCTTGAAACTTTTTAAATAAACCTGGAAATAACAATAACCAGTGAGTGTATAAATAAAAGTTCTGGGTGTGAATTTCAATCAAACTTGTTGGAAAACTCACATAAGTATTGGAAAACTGGGAAATATAGGAAACCTTTTGGGTGAACAATCATGTTATATAATGTGCTGAATGTAGGGTTAATCAATAAAACAATAATCTATTCATTATGTACACAAAAAAGAACGATAAGGGTTGTAAATGTTGAACATGGTGAACATAGAAGTTTGTCCTTGAAATTACAAGCATTAAGTTTAAAAGGCTGTTCTAATGGTGTACATGAAAAATAATAAGAAAAATAATAATATTCAAAAACCTTTCCAAAAAAGACAGTATAAGATTAATTAAACGTGGGACATCATATTGTTCAACACAAAATTCCCAAAAGATACATACTTTTCATGTTTTTCATGTTTTTTTTTTTTTTGCCAACTGCTTTTTGTCTAGTTTCCAGTAAAAATATCTTGGATCTTAAAATATGAAAAACAAATGTACAAGTATCTTTTCAGCAAGATGTAGGAGATTTATTTAAAAAAATAATTCCTTAATATTGATGAAAAGGTTATAGTTCCACTGGCAGATGATTTCACTTCTAACAAGACATTTTCCAATGTTATAAATTAAATAATGTGTCAGTGGCACTAGAACTTTCTCATTAATGGAGCTAAATTGACTTAAAGGTTACTTCTAAGTTAGTTATGTCTTATTTGAAGTGAACAAAAATATGAACCAATAAATTAATCAATCACTTGCTTTAGAAACTAGACCAAAATACTTTGATTTTGTGTTTTTGCAGTGTATGTGTTATGCTTATATTTCTTCGTAATATTTCCCTCTACTATTTTGAAATTTCTGAAATGAATAAAAAGTCAGTCCAGTTCATCGGGACCTCATCGGAGGTAAAATGAGAAGAGGCGGCGGTCAGCTCCTCCTTCCCAGAGAGGAACCACTTCCACGCTTCCAGGCCCCGCCCCTGTGGGTTTGACTGACGGCTCTGATCTGGAGACAGCGGGGTGGCCAGTCACGCTCTCGCCATGCAAATGAGCTGCTCCTCGAGCCGGGCGGGTGCCCATGTGGACCAGCACCATGCCTTGTTGTTCTGAGCGCTGATTGGCTGGCTGGCGCCTGATCCGTCTGCATGCGCTGCGGGCCAACGGATGGCGCTAAACCGCGGAGCACCGATGACGTCAACAGACTATTTCTAAAAAGAGTCCCACGGAAATATGACGTTACACGGCGAGTTGAAGTGTTTCCGGAGACTTTATTAATGATATTTTAATTGTGTGAGAAATGTTGAAACCAGTGGTAAGCTTAAATTTTGTGAAAAGAAGCAGCGAAGTGGAGGAACGCGCGAGGCGGTCGCCGGGTTTTGCTAACGGCCGTAGTAACAGGGCGGGGCAGGAATCCGTGAGGGGCGGGCCTTACCGAGAACACGACTTGCCTTGTTGTGTGTATTCCCGTGCTCGCTTCGCCATCTTGTTGCAACCTTTTTTTTTTTTTTTTTTTTTTTTTTTTCTTTACGTATTTCGGGATCTACTTTCTGTTTGGCTCGATTAAAAAAAACTGGCCGCCTGCTTTCTGGAGAACCGCACAAGGGGGGTTCACACGGGAGTGAAGCCGCGCACGTCGCGCTTAATACCGGGGCACTACTTTCCATTCCCCCCCTCTTTCCGTCCGGGACCACCGGGTCCCCCCCTGCCGTCAGGGTTTACGCGAAATGAGCATCGACACACTTTTGGAGGCGGCCAGGTACCTGGAATGGCAAGCCCAGCAGCAACAACAAACAAGACGTGGTGAGTTAATCTGCAGACTGATGCATGAAGGGAGCGCAGAAAGCAGAGCGGAGTGACATTTCAAACAGCGTTTTTTGGGAGAACTGGGGTTGTAGTATTTAACCTGCCTGTCTGTGGTGATGACGGGACGCACTTCAAGGCTTTCAGCGCCACTTAGAAGGCAAACTGTCACTGATCTGGCTTGTTGGGTCATGCATAGATCGTTTAATCTAAAGGCGGAAATGGCCAAAGTTGTTTTTCTGAACTACTTCTTTGCGCGCCTGTAGTGTGTGTGCGTGTGTGTGTGTGTGTGACGGTGTTTCAACACCCTTGTGACTCACCGTACGCGCGCGCCTGTGTGTAATGGAGGCACAGCAGAGGATTTCCTTTTTTCCAGAGTTCATTTAAATAAAGTATTAATCTGTTGCAGAGACCCAACATAAGCATACCCCTTTGTATGTGGTGGTAGCATTTTTTAAGTTTTAAAATATTATAAAAAATGCTAATAAAATAAGCAGTTATGTCATAATTGCCGCACCGTTTTTGTTATTTGTGAAAGAGTTAATTTAAGTGGATGTATTTTTGCTCAGTGGGCACCGGCAGGGCGGTGGCGAGCCGAGGCTGCTCTTTACATAATACCCTGACATTGCTCAGCTATCTTATGACACACACGCGCGCGCACTGGGGCGGGCCCTCACGCTCCCAGCTTGTCTAATTTTAATTTCTGAGGGGAAATAAAAAAACTAGTAATCATTAACATTTATCACCTAATGTGTTTGCGATGGAAACTGATAGGGTGGACGTAACGATTTGTGATTAGGTCAAAGGAGAATAAGGAAGTGGGGTTGATTTTTTTTTTTTGTGTGTGTGAGCTGATCCCACTGATGACGTGTCAGACACCCCCACTCCCTATCCTCCTCCCGTTGCTGCATACTTACTTACCCTACCGCGTGCTTGGATCCACCCACACCGACCACGTGCACGCCACCCCTCCCCCCTTCCACCCACAGAAACACAAATATGCGCATGCACACACACACATCCACGCGCCTTTCTCGTCCCCGCCCTTCCCATTCAGACAGTGGCGGGTCAGAGGGACTGAAAGTGGGAGAGTAAGTAAGTGGGGCAACTCCCTACTTACCCCTGGTTCAGTCAGTTCGGAAGATTTTGCGAGATATAAACCGGGGGTGTTCAAAGTGCGGCCGGGAGCCATTTGTGGCCCTTGAGCTGATTTTGTGTGGCCCACCAACTGCAACTCAAGAATGACACGGATATGACACATTCAGCATAAGGTCTTGATGCAGATGGAGACGTTTTATTTGTGATAACCAGCATAATTTTCTTACAACAACCCAATTTAATAATTTTTTAAATAACGAAGCATTTTTAATAAATAGAACCACATATAATTACTAAAAGGCGATTTTGTTGCATCCAAATCAACTTTAATCTCATTTATTAAACTTGGGTAAATATAGTAAACATTTTGCCTAAAAGTGACGCAGCTAGAAGCATTTCTTTTAATACAGAAAATGTTCAAAATCCTGTTTACATTTCTTAATCTAAAACAGGAAGAATCCTTTTACTACAAAAAATTACTACTTGACGATTTTCCAGGTGACAAAGTTTGTACATCCCTGATATGAACAATATAGGGATGAAATTTGTGTTTTCTCATCAGGACTCCTACGAGGGATTTTAAAATGTTGGAAAAGTTTAATTGGCATTTAAGGTGAGAAACAGGGATGTGATATATTTTATATTATTTATATTATTTATTTAGTTAGTAGTGCAAAAGTTTTTTAGTCAATTAGCATATTATGCAAAAATCTTTTAGAAATGTAGCTGTGTTGCATATCACATGACCACAACTTTCTTCTAGCATATTCTTCTAAGTGATCAAGGTCCAAGCTTGGGTAAAATCACCCACAAACATGCAGTTTATTAAATCCACCCAGTCATAAACTGCGCTTGCAATATTTTAGTGGAATAAAGTAGCTGTTTAAAGACTGATAAATATTTTTCCAGTTTTAATCAATTAAATGCAGACATAGACATACCTCAGTCTTCTTTTCAGTGAACGTTCGTGGATATTTATGTTCTTATTTACTATGAAATCAAAAATAGATCAAAAATAATTTTTAAAAGATAAATACTTTGTGTTGTACCAGCCACTTTCTACTTAACTCATCAGTTTTCAAAGAAGGCATATTTATATACATGTTTTGATACGTAACGTCCTACAACAGACAGCTTGATTTCACTGCAAAAATATACTGCAGAAGGTACAAACTGCTAAGAATGTATTATGAAAACCTGGTATTTTTCAAGTAGTTGTTACTTAATGTACAGAAGAAAGAGTGCAGAGAGGAGAAGCTTTTTTCTGCATATCATCATGACGACAGTATCCAGCTGCGCAGGTCCTCTTAGAGGTGAATGTTCTTCTAGGTGAGAGGAAATTGCGCCATCAAGGGGTTTGCAGAGTCATGCAGAACAGAAACGAAAGTCTTGCCTAATGAAGCTGGGCCTCTTGACAATTGGTATTGTCTATTGTGTTGGAAGTGTTTGGCTGCTGTATTAGCAGCATGCAGGTTGAGGAATCCCTGGGATCTTCTGTTTTTGATGTAGCTGTTTCCATGGTAATGCAGGGTTTTCCACATTACTTTGAGCCTGGCGCTGCAGTGTGTACTAACTACTCACTTGCATCGTTATCTGTGTGTTGCAGGTATTTTTATCATTTTTTTTAATTTAATGCTTTTATCTTCGACTGGTGGTTTATTTTTAGACCGTCCCAGTGCGAATCCTGGTGTCTCACAACTGTCCTCTGCTGTTGTTGGTCAGCTGTCCTGAGGTAGCCTGGGGCTGGAGGCATGCTCAGCATTGGACCAGTCCAATCACAGGGCAGAGCTTCTCACACAGCTTCTCTTGTTTCCACGCCGTTTCCCACATGATGGGAAACGGCATTTGTTTGCATAAGGTGTTGTGAAGCTGACTTTAGGTATGTTGC